GGTCTCATGAGTTACAAATATCATCTTTCCATGTAGGAATATAAACAGCTCAACTTTAATTTTAAAGTCCCTTATGATTTCTCTTTCCTGTTTACCTCTTCATGCTTCTCTTGAGTCTTACATTTGAAAGTCAAATTTTCTATTCAGTTCTGGTCTTCTCATCAAGAATGCTTGAAAGTCCTCTATTTCACTGAATGTCCATTTTTTTCCTCTGAAGGATTATACTCAGTTTTGCTGAGTAGGTGATTCTTGGTTTTAATTCTAGCTCCTTTGACCTCCAGAATACTATATTCCATGCCCTCCGGTCCCTTAATGTAGAAGCTGCTAAATCTTATGTTATCCTGATTGTGTTTCCACAATACTTGAATTATTTCTTTCTGGCTGCTTGCAATACTTCCTCCTTGACTTGGGAACTCTGGAATTTGGTTATAATATTCCTAGGGGTTTTCCTTTGGGGATTTCTTTTAGGAGGTGATCGGTGGATTCTTTCAATTTCTATTTTACCTTCTGGTTCCAGCATATCAGGGCAGTTTTCCTTGATACTTTCTTGAAAGATGATGTCTAGGGTCTTTTTCTGATTATGGCTTTCAGATAGTCCAATAATTTTTAAATCCTCTCTCCTGGATCTATTTTCCTGGTCAGTTGTTTTTCCAATAAGATATTTCACATTGTCTTTTATTTTTTCATTCTTTTGGTTTTGTTTTATGATCTCTTGATTTCTCATAGAGTCATTAGCTTCCATTTGGCCAACTCTGGTTCTCCTCATTGACTTTTTGGACCTCTTTTGCCATTTGGGTTAGGCTATTTTTTAAGGTGTTATTTTCGTCACTATTTTTTTGGGTCTCCTTTAGCAAGCAAAACTTACTTAGTTTTTCATGATTTTCTTGCATCACTCTCATTTCTCTTCCCAGTTTTTCCTCTACTTCTCTTGCTTCTCAGAATGCTTCTTGAGCTCTTCCATGGCCTGGGACTGATTCATATATTTCTTGGAGGCTTTGGATGTAGGAGCTTTGACCTTGTTGTCTTCTTCTGGTTGTATGTTTTGATCTTTGTTACCAAAGAAAGATTCTATGGTCTGACTTTTTTTGTGCCTTTGTTCATGATCCCAGCCAGTTACTTGAGTTATAAACTCTTTGTTAAGGTAGGGGTCTGCTTCCAGTGTGGAGAATGTACTGTCCCAAGCTTTGAGGGTTTTGGGCAGCTCTTTTCAGAGATACTTCTAGGGACCTGTAAGTTTTCAGTTCTTCCAAGGTGGTATGATAAGGGGTGAGGTGTTTACTCCTTACCTGGCATGTGCTCTGGTCTATGAGTGACCACAAGCACTTTTTTCTGCCTTGGAACTGTGAGGAGGATTCCCTCTCCACCACCACTACAAGCTCCACCACGCCAGTGCTCCTTCTTGGCCCAGGACTGCCACCCAGAACTGTGACCCAGATCCAAGGACGGCCAAAGCAAGAGAATCCTGCCTTAGCACCAGCAAAGAGATCCCTGCAATCCCCCTCTGATCAGCCACTGGATTTTCCCGTCTTGGGCCAAGAGCTCTGGAAGCATCCTCTGCCCCGGGGCCGCGCCAGGACTGGGGCTGGAACCCAGCTTCTCTCTCACCATGGTCATAGACTTTCCTACTGACCTTCTAGGTTGTCTTTGGTGTTTGTGGGTTGAGAAGTCTGGAAACTGCCAGAGCTGCCTGTGATTCAGTGCCCTGAGGCCTGCTCCAGGTTTGCTGAGGCCTGCACTACCATGCTGAACTGCGCTCCTCTCCCAGCCTGGTATGATACTTTTCCAATCAACCATTCACAGGTTGTCTTGGACTGGAAATTTGTTTCACTCTTATCTTTTTGTGGCTTCTGCTGCTCTAGAATTTGTTTAGAACCATTTTTTACAGGTATTTGGACGGGTTTGGGGGAGAGCTCAAACAAGTCACTGCTTCTACTCTGATCTTGGTTCTGCCCTCTCCTTACTTCTCTTCCCATGTTGTTCTGTAATCTTCATAGTCTACCTTTGTTGTTCAGTTACATTAGCTGTGTCTGACTCTTTATGACCCCATTTGGGGTTTTCTTGGTAAAGATACTGGAGTGGTTTGCCATTTCCTTCTCTAGCTCATTTTACAGATGAGGAAACTAAGGCAAATCGGGTGAAGTGACTTGCCCAGGGTCACAGAGCTTGTAAGTGTCTGAGACCAGATTTGAACTCAGGTCTTCCTGACTCCAGGCCCAGCACTCTATCCATCTATCTTTTGGTTCAGCAATATTCCATTATATTCAGATAATTCAGATTCCATTCAGTTTATTTAGCCATTCCCTAATTTTAATGCAAGAACCATTGCTGAAATCAATCAGTAAGCATTTAAATGCCTACTATGTGCTAGACAGCAAGTGCCTTCTTTCTGCTAGGTGAGGAAACTATTAGGACAAGATAACAAGGGAATTTTGATTGATGGTTTTCAAGGAGAAAACGCATTGGACTGCAAGTCAAACTGATGTCCAGCCCTAGGTCTCATCCTTGGTAGCTTTGTGACTAGAGGTGAATTACTTAGTTTCTATGAGCCTCAGTCTACTCCTTTGTAAAGTGGGGGTTAGATTCAATTCAACAAGATTAGGTTTCCTTTGTGAAAGGTATGGGTTGGTAAGGGCCTTTTCATCTCTAAATCCTATGATTCAATCATTTTCTGACATCACCATCAGCTATCGTGGTAGATATGCCTATTTCAAAACTTTTTCCCCCACTTAAGATACATTCCAAAAAGATACTAGGGCTACCGAGTAGTGCTAGAAGTGTGTGTGTGTGAGTCATCTGAGAGTGATTCCACAAATCCCCAACTCTGGGAAGAACCAATTACTGTTACTGCCAATCTTAATTCCCAAGGGTTGTTATTGTGAGCAAAGTGCACCACTGAATTGTGAACTTCTGAGAGAGAGCTTTGTGCTCCCCATTCCATCTGGGATGTTTGTTAGTTACCATCAGCAAAGAAGGGATAAGAGAATCCTGGGTTTAACAAGGTCAGACCATTCCTCCCCAGCACAAAGATGGTGGCCAGAATTCACCACAGTCAGATGGTAACAGCAAATTCACTTTTTATATAGCACCTTTTTTTTTTAAGGCAATTGGGGTTAAGTGACTTGCCCAGGGTCACACAGCTAGTAAGTGTCAAGTGTTTGGTCAGAGGCCGGATTTGAACTCAGATCCTCCTGACTTCAGGGCCGGTGCTTTTTCCACTACGCCACCTAGCTGCCCCTATATAGCACTTTTTGGCTTTAGGAGTGCTTTCCTCAAAACCCTGTTTAGTAGGTGCTGTAACATACATAATTTTACATTTCAAGAAAAGTTTCAGTTTAGCTGCCTTAGGACAATTGGATTTGGAGACAGAAGGACCATCCCTTGGGGATCATCCGGCTTAATTTTATTAATGAGGAATGGAAGTTCAGTGATTTGCTAGGATCTAAGGATCTGATTGAGTTTTAGAACCAATGTCTTCTGTCCTCCAAGCCCATCTTCCTTCCATTCTACTGATGCTACTAGCCCCCTGGCCACTCTTTGTTCCATTCTGCCACATGTAGACCCCTCCCCAAATCATTCTCAAGCCCAACACCTGAGAAAGGCCTAAAACCTGGATTGGCTAATCGGGAGAGACATTTCAGCCCACTCTGGGCTTAATCTACCATAATACTTTGCATTGTGTTGCTCTCTGAGTGAACCCAGAATATCCCTTCCTGTGTCAATAGCTGAAGCTGATCAAGGGCATTCTTCTGTTTATGACCACTAAGGTACCCTGACCCAGACACTATCTTAAATAGTAGGACTTTTCTTATCTTAGCATTTTGTACACATACACTATGTTATGTCATGTTAATGGTAAAAGAAACAGATATCCTGGATCTATAATTTCAATTGAGACTTTGACATTCTCCTATCTTATTGTATTTACAAACTATTCACTTAAGAAATTCCTTTCTCTTATCATAGTGAAACATTTGGAGACCATAATTTTGGCTGACATAGGCATACTGAGCCAGGAGGGAGAGAAGGGTGGGAGGGAACTGCTCTGAACATATAAAAATTCTTTTTGTCCATCTTTGGGTTCATTGTCTCATGATGAACTCCCATGCATATCTCTATATGTATGTTTCGCAAGCTTGGAGAGAAATAAACACTCATATTCAGACTAATTTTATTTGTCTTTCTAAGAATGAACTTAGTAATGGTTGACACACAAAAGGTCCATGTTTCAAGCTGCCATGGCTATGAAAAATGCTTCCCCCTTGTCGGTTGATTACTGTCTCCGTCTTTGCTCTAGAATATTCCTTTACAGCATCAGTACAATGTTAGCATTTTCTTCTTCAGACCCTGAACCCTGAACTTCTTCAGACTCTGAAGAACCACAGGCCGTAGGCCACTCTGTTCTTATGGCCAAAAAAAATGGCCTTTTTCTCCTTCAAAAAATGGGTCTCTTAAGGTTTTAGTGTATTTTTATCTTCTCATAAGTAACCTCTTTTCAAATGGGACACAGGGCACTGCTGATTCATCTTAGGCTATATCCCTTTAGGCTTGCTTTCAAAAAGTCAAATGCATGACTTGTCATAGCCTTCCAACTAAAGCTCTCAGACCCAATTGGAAATGAAGGTGAGGAAAAGGTAGAATCAAGTGAATTATGTAGACTAACAGGACTGGTTTTTCATTGCAAAGGTGCCTCATCCTGTGTCTCAAAGGCAAACTTGAGCTAGTCATCCGTGGTTCACTTACGCTATTTAGGGCCTGTTCATTATTGACTCTCACATTGTAACACTGCACTACAGATGTAGTAGAACTAGGCCTATCAAATCAATTAATTAGCTTACTATGGTGGGTCTCCTCCCCCTGCATCAATACTCGTCTTCCTCCTATTTGCTCCCACCCATATTCAGAAAGCTCTACAGAAAACAGGTTTGTGGGAAACTGATTTAAAAAAATTTTTAGAGGTTAGGTAAAAAAAAAAAAACACACAACAAATTAAAAATCTCAAGTATGTTATAACGTAGGATTTCGGTTTAATTCATATTTTGCTTGAAAACATAAAACTGGCCTCCTAAATGAATAGCCGTTATGGATAACAAAGCAAAAAACATCAAGTTGATACAATACCAAGGCTTAATGCACAAATGTATGTGTGGGCACACACAGAGAAACCACTACACCAGACCTTGGTTCCAAAAAGCCAGTGTTACTTTTGAAGGGGACATAAAGTAAACATTTTGACAAATCAAAATAATTAAATGTAGCACTTCTAAAATAAATAGTAATGACACTTTTGCACTTACAGAATTGTCATACATAACAAACAGAACACAAAAAACCTTCCAGTTCATTCTAACAGTGCAAGATGATAGCAGCATTCACAAAGAGTTAAGATTTAGTTTGTGTAAACACTCAAGTCCACTAAACACAGTAGACACAAAAAGCTGCCCTTGAGAAGCCTTTACTCACCCTTCCAACCCAGGACTGGCTATGGCTGGAGCTCCAGTTTTCTTTAAAAGAACTCTACAGGATTTGTTTGGGCACAATTTAAAGCTTGAGAGCCATCTTGGAGAGAAAACTTTCCAGATGCAAAGTGTTAGACTTGGTTTCGGAGCATCATCCCAGTGCCTATCTGAGCACCTTTTTTCTAGTGGGACTTTTAAAACTTGGCTTTTCAAATAGCTATTAAATATGCCTCAATGCTTTAAGACGAAGACAAGCACACACAAACACACACTTAGCATTTCCAGTTAAACATCAGTGCCTTCTAGGCTGGGACATGCCTTGCTAAAGTATGATACTGCTTTTAAGGTGAAGCATTATTAGAGTGCAAAGTTGGGAATGAAGAAGCTGATGCAATAGGCAAGTGTGCACAATTGTACCAGCTCCCCAAAAAGGCTTTGCACTCTTAGTTTTACAAGGTCAACCATGAGCTTTGCCATTAAAAAGAAATTTGCTCCTCTTGCTCTTCATTTCCATCTGACAGAACATGAATCCTAAGAAAGTTTGTTTGAATTCTTATTAACATCTGCAAACATTAATGATTCATTTCTTCCAAGAGGGCTCTTACATACACTACCAAAAGTGAACTTGTTTTCTTTACAGTACACACCTTGATGATTCAGACCTGTCTTCTGTTAATCACATCAAAAGCAAAAGTCTCTAAGTGTCTGATTACTTACATACAGTGTGAGGAAAAAATACTTGTTAGTGGTTGGTTTCTCTAAATCATTTGACTGTAAGTGGAAGTTCTTGCTGTCCAGTCCTTTTGTCTAGCTTCAGAGCACGTATGGGTTTCAAGTACTCGGGTTCTGATCCCAGCTGCTCCAGTGGCCCCCGTGTACCACTGCTTGTTACATTCCCAAAAGTAGTCTGCAGAATTCACTTGCTCTCCAGTTAGCGACGGCGAAGGGGTTTATAGACGCAAATGGCCAAGAGTATCATAGTGACCAACAGGATACTGAAGATGCTTCCCATAAGCACTGCAAAAATCAAACACCAGATCTCCTTTGAATGAGAGATGCCAATTCTTTAGACATCCTAGGAGCTTTAACATAGACCAGAGGGTTCTTAACTAGTCCATGGATAGATTTCCAGGGCTCTGTGAACTTAGATGGGAAAAAAAAAACATGACATCTTTATTTTCATTAACCTCTAAATGAAATCTAGTCAATTATTTAAAAATATGATTCTGAGAAGGAGTTTCTAAGTTTCACCAGCTGGCCAAAGGGGGAGAGGAGTAATCTATGATGCCAAAAATGTTTGAGAACCTGTTGGGGCAGCTAGGGGGCACAGTGGACAGAGCACCCTCCCTGAAGTCAGGAGGACCTGAGTTCAAATGCAGTCTCAGACCAAACACTTGACACTTATTACCTGTGTGACCCTGGGCAAGTCACTTAACCCCAATTGCCTAAAAAAACAAAACAAACAAAAAAAAACCCCCGGGTCTTTCTTAGAAGGTGTGAATTTGGCCTAAAAATATGGCACTAATAGCTCACGTTTGCATAGTATTTTATACTTTACATCACACTTTTCTCATAATAGCTCCATTACATTTAGTGCTTTGTGATTCACTGAACTCAACCAACTTGACTGCCTTGCAAAGACTACCAAAAATTGTCATACTTCCATATCAAACCACCATTTATTCTTAGAGCTCATTTCACAACAAAGCTCTCTCCAATGTTTAAGTGAGAAAGTGAAATCTGCTATCTCACCTGTGAGTCAAGAGCATTGGTTTCTAGGCACTAATAATTTCAACAAACACTTAAGAGTGCTTTTAAACCTTCTAACTCAACTTAGAAGCCTGCCAACAACCTTAACATATACAGTACTGGCATTCTGAGTAACTCAATCCTTTTTCTAAGACACTCCAGAGTAATGTTGCTGGTTCTCTTGGGGAATTCTAATTTATTTTAATTTTTAAAAAATCTATACCATAGTTACGACAGCATAGGGCCTACTCACAACTCCAAAAACTTAGGAGTTACTGCTTTAGTAAATTCATAGGGATGAGACGTGCCTTTCGTTGGTATAGAGAACTCCCAGATGATGAAAATCCTTCTACCAAAGCAGACCAGTACTGATCTTAAGACACCCGACCAAAGAATTGAGAGCTTAAGCAACTTGTCCAGGAGTCAAATAGATAACATGTGTTTGAGGTAGGCACCTCCAACGCCAGCTCTGTATTCACCCTGGAGGTGTATTCACACCCTGTATTCACTCCTTGGAAGGCCAAGACGGGACAAAGCATCCTTCTGAAACCCCATCGATGCTTTAAATGGACTAATTTAATAACCTAAAACAGCACTCCTGGACAAAGTTAAAATTCTCACTGTCCCTAATCTGGGTAAATTTCAGCCTGGGGTTATTTTGCTTAATCATTTTTCTTGAATTTTAAAGTGCTAACATTCTCTGCGCGTTTTCCAGGAGACACTAATTCCTATACAATAATCAAACCAAAGGCCTAGAAAGGCAGCCAGGCACAGTGCCCTGGGTTCAAGTGCCCCCTGGGCAATCCCTTAATCTTAGTGTTCTAGACAGCTCTCTAAGATCATAATTGAAGAGAAAGGGCTCATCTGCATCCCAAGGAAATCACAGGTCTGGTCCCACTCATGGTCATGGCTTGGCAAATAAGTAATTCTAGTGGTAAGGCTGGTCATCTGGTAGGACAAAAAAATAACCAAAGACTTGGAAACCTGCTTTATTATGTACATAGTGCAAGTCAACATTGCTAAACCCGCCTCCTCATCTGTAAAAATGGGATCATAAAGTACCAACTTCACAGGTACATAATGATAATAACTGTGTATGCAGTGAGCCTGCAATTCTCACAGGGAAAAGGGAATAGTTTCAGAGATAGAAGGGACTACTGAATCCAAACACCCACTGCCCCTTTTTAAAAACGAGGCATGGAGATGTGAATAAAAGCAGCCAGCATTTACAGAACACTGCAACCAAGCTTTCACGCTGAAGAGGTCTGCAGACGTTTTCTTTTGACCTTCACAACAACCCTGTGATTTTCCTGATGAGGAAACTGAGGCCGGCAGAGGCTCCAAGTCCAGCACCCTCTATTCTCTGGGCTGGCCGGTATGACGTGCTCAGGTTCAGTCAATTAAGGTGGGATCTGAACCCGGGCCCTGGAAAACATCCCCGGGGGTATGGACAGCGTCGTAGGTGAGCGAAAGCTGCCCCGCACCACATGTACCGACAGGCAGGGACCTGGACAAACCGGCCACCCCTCCCCCACCCCGGGCCCCCCCCACGCTTAAGGCTGCCCCTCCCCCCACCGGACAGACGAGGCAGCCAGCCGGTCCCAGGGAACCAAAGAGGCGGATAAAGACCCCCCAGACCTCTCCTAGTTGGGTGACCCTAGACAAGCCGCGCTACGGTTGTCTGCCTCAGTTTCTCCACCTGTCAAACGGGGATAGCAAGAGCCGGTTCACAGGAAAAGTGTCGCTAAAGCGCTACAGAGACAAGCGCGAGCTGAGTCAGGGGATTTGGCCGTGGCCCCGCCCCGGCCCCGAGGCCTCCTCCGGGCCCGAGTCGGAGAGAAGAGGCCGCCCAGGCCAGGCCCCCGGCACCGCCCCTCACCTAGGTTCTGCCCGCGCAGTACTGCGTACGGCCGGCTCCGCTCTGGAGGCGTCCCGGCGGGGCTCGGAGCCTCCGCCAGCCCCGGTAAGATCCCGCCCAGCCCGAGGCCCAGGAGCAGCAGCCAGCGTCGCCCCCGCGGCCAGCGACCCTCCGCCCGCTTCAGCTGCATCGCCTCAGACCCCAGTGCGCGCCGCCGCCGCCGCCGCCACCGATGCCGGCTTCTGGGGGCGGGACTTCCGCCCAGAGCGGAGACCACGCCCCTGCCTCGAGGACTGCCTCTTCTCGCCGCGCTACCTCCTCCGCTAGGCCCTCTGACAGCTTGTGAAAAGACCGTTAAATTGCGGCAGGGCTGTTGGCCACGCCTACCCCCGAGTGGGCCCTTATGATTGGCTTCTCCTTTGAGACCCGCCCTAAAGGATCCTTCCTATAGTTGTAAACGCTCTTCTCCCTCCTGCCCCGCCCTGGGGTATCACGAGCCCTGGCGTAGTCCGTCGGGAAGAATGGAGGAGACGCAGGGCCCGCCCACCACCCCAGCTGGCGTCTTTGATTGGCGCTTTCTCGTCGCGTTCTACCACTAACAGCCTGTGGCGACGTCCGCCAGTAGCTGGTACCCCGCCCACCCTCGACCTAGCCCTAGTGATTCCTCTCTCGCGCGCTCTTTCTCTTTCCTCCCACGGTCCGCCCACCAACCACCGCTAGCTGCGTCGTGACGTCACGCGCCAGGCAACGCTCATCAAGCGCAGTAGTTCTCCTAACGGTTCATTCGCCTCAGAGGCGCCCCCAGCGGCGGTCGGGGTGTGTTGAGCTCTGTCGCGGCCTGGTATAGTGGGAAAAACGCTGAATTCGGAGGCAGTTCATCAAAAAGCCTTTCTTGAGCGCTCCCTGGCGCGCCCATTTAAATGACACTTTCTCTTTTGGAGGAGAAGCCCCGTTATTGCAGCAGCCCGAAGTGTTATCATTCTCATTTTATAGATGAGGAAACTGAGGCTCTGGGGACCCCCCGTGGTCACTGGCTTAAGTGTCAGGAGGCATCGCGGCCCATGGCCCCAGCATAGATCACATCCCAGCCTGATAAATGGGGTCACCCCCTGCCTCACCTACAGCTCCATGAGGCTTTATTTTTTTTAACTTTTTGATAGGCTCTCCAAAGAGCTTTTTTAAAAATTATTTTTAAAAATTTATTTAAAATTTTGTTTAAAAAATTTTTAATTTAAAATTTAATTTAAAAATTATTTAAAATGTTTTGTTTAAAATTTTATTTAAAATTATTTAAAATTTTTTATTTAAGGTGGAGAACATTGAATGTTGCTTAGCCCAACTCCCTCATTTTACAGAGGGTGAAACTGAAGCCTGGTTCCGCAGGGGAAGGGGGGCTATCAAGCTGCTGTAGATAGAATCAGAGTCTTTGATCCTTTTCTTTAGAACTTCCGGATGGCACCTCCCATTGTGTGCCAGGAACAGTGGATTTTGCAAACGCTCTTACTGTGTTCAGGGTCCTGGTGAGGAAGACAGAAGATAGAAGGTTTAGGTAAGATCTCTTTTTTTGGAGGCAGTCAGGGTTAGGTGACTTGTCCAGGATCAAACAGCTAGTAGTAGCTCAGTAGTCTTAGGCAGGATTCGAACTCAGGTCCTTCTTAACTCAAGGGTTCTGTATCCACTGAGCCCCCTAGCTGTGCCCCCTCAGTCTCTTAGGGCTTAGGATAGCTATTTCTCCACAGCACCAGTGAGTAATGTTATTAGCAGATGGTAGGGGGAGGCTTGCTGGGTTTCTGTGGAAGAGGAGTCGTTTAGGAAGGGTAGGATAAGTCTAAAGGGGACAGATGGAGATGGGGTTGGAGGGACCACCCTAGGCATGCCCATAGAGATGTGAAAGGGAGGAGGAATCAATGGGAGGCTTTATAAAGTCAACTTCACAAGGAACAAGATGGTGGGGAGGGAGGCAAGGTGGTTAAACAGTGATTTGAAGACGATCTGGGGGTTTTAGGGGATTGTCTCTTCCATATGAGAAGCCAAAAGCTAATTTGATCTTGGCCCTATGAAAAGAGGGATGGATAGCTTCAGAAATAAGGGTGTTTGGGTCTGGCTAATTCTCATTTGGAGGAACCTGTTCAGTTTAAGGACATTGATAAGCTGGAAAGCGTCCTGAGGGAAGGCCCCCAGGATGGTCAAGGGCCTTGATTCCCGTGTCACATCTTGGTGGGGTAAAGGACCTGGGCAGGGTTAGCCAGCTAGCTAAAAGTGATTTGGGAAGGAGAGCTGTGTTCATGTTTTTAAAGGGCTTGTCCCCGGAAGGAGGGAGAGGGTAGACCCAAAAGCAGTGGGGTGGGGGTGGATTTCAGGCTTGAACAATTGGAGCTGTTTCAGAGTAGAATTTGGTGGGGAGGTCCTCAAACAAAGGCTAGCTAATATTATTGGGCATGTTATAGTGCGCATTTCTTTTAGGACTCGCTTATAGCAGGTGGTCACTGAAGTCTCAAATTCTGTGATTCTGTGTTTGTGAGAGAGACAAGAAGTGGATGGGGTAGGGAGCAAGACAGAACCTGGATTTGGATCTTGGCACTGCTAATGCCTGTGTGACCTTGGACGAGTCATTTTGCTTGGGTCTCATTTTCCTCAAAAATGGAGGTGGAGGACTTATATCTCTTTCCCAGCTCTAAATCTGTGACCCCTGGTTTCCTCCTCAGCCTCTGTAACTCCTCTCCAAACCTGGAATTGGATGAAAGAAACCTCGTTGGGCGCTCTGTTCTTCCAGAAGCGTTTCTGGAGCGCAGCAGATGCCGCTCTTAGTGCAGACGCTGATTGGACGGGAGCATTTGCAGCATGTCTGGTGGGAAGCTGGAGACAGATGGGACACAAGGAAACCAGGGAGGCGCCCTGCAGCTGTGTGTACGATTGCCCTGCCACTGGCCCGAGGTCTCTGCTGCCGCATGTCCTCCCTGCTGTGCGCTTCTCATCCCGGATGAGCTGTGTGTTCCTGACTTGAGCGCTTCAGAGATCTGGAACCGAGATTGCAGGCTCGAAGCCCCAGAGATGGATCTTTGGGCAGATTGCTAAGATTATAATAAAACCCCCTTTTACAGGTTCATTTTTGTCACAAACTTCAAGTTATTTTTGGAGTAGAGAAGAGAGAGTTCGTCTAGACCTCTTCCAAGGCTCTTCTTATTGGCTCTGTCCACTTGGAGGCCAATTAGCCAACCCAGGAAGTAAAGCCAAGGAGACTAACAATGACCCATCTTCCCTGGAGGTTGTAGTTTGGGAAACTGGGTCAGAGCATTTATTGTGGGATTTGTTTTCCTCATCATATCAGACTTACGCTCTGTTTTAAGTAAATACCCCTCCTACCTTGCGATGATGTCAAAAATGAAGTGCTCCTGACTGGTCAAGAGAGGTTCAGAGGGAAGCGGGGCTCATGGGCAATGGCTCGATGGCAGTGAATCCCGAGAGGTTTGGGGGGACCTGAGTGTGGCCGTGCAAGTGCTCCACATGTGAATCCTGGTGGCTGCGGCTTAATAGAAAATGTAACGCTTGGTACACTCGGATCAATTATCCGAGGCCTTCACTTTTGGCCTTCCCCACCCTCCACACAAGGGAATCAACCCAAGGAAATATGAGGAGGAGGTGAGAACCCTGGTCACCCATGTGCCAGCCTCCAGAATTGTCAGTGGCCCCTCCTTTTGGTGGTAGAGTGGCTGGCCACTGGGTCAGTTGGTTTAGTGGAGCTGTTTTTCTTTGTTATAAGGGAGGATTCTAATTGGGATGAGACATACTGGGAAATAAATGACAGGTTTAAAAAACAAACGGCATAGCAATATAACTTTAAGAAGTTGGCCCTGGCCTCTATGGTACAATTTGAATGACGGCCAAAGCCCAGCCCCCAGCAGGCAGCCCATCATTCTTCCATTAGAGGTTTATTCTTGTGGGTTCTGAAAGCTTTAGGACTGCAGTCTGCTATCAAACTACAATGTTCCTGGAAGGTTTTAAATCTTAATTATGATTAACTTTAGGATGAAATAGAACCAATGAGGAAAGAGAAGGGGCTAGAGGGGCGAGAGAATGGCCAATGGTGACTCTAAACAAAATGAGTCCCGTTGTTCTTTTCACATGACAGCTTCTCCTCCCCAAGGTTTGTTTTTCTTACATTAAATATTATGTCCTTCATGGCATAATAATACTTCATTTTACTACAAAAAAATTCTTAACCACTTTCATTCTGTTGTTGGTGCCTAGACATTTAATGCTTTAGGGCAGCTAGGTGGCGCCATAGTGGATAGAGCACTGGGCCTGGCGTCAGGAAGACTCATCTTTCTGAGTTCAAATCCAGCCTCAGACACTTACTAGCTGTGTGGCAAGTCATTTCACCCTGTTTGCCTCAGCTTCCTCATCTGTAAAATGAACTGGAGAAGGAAATGGCAAACCACTCCAGTATCTCTGCCACGGAAACCCCAAATGGGATCACAAAGAGTTGAAAACAGCTGAACAGCAGACATTATCTTCATATATTAAATCCATCTCAAAAGCAATGAGAGTTCCCAAACTGTTGATTTTGCCAGTTTTAATCCTTTAGACGTAGGCCTCAACAAGATTGTAAAATAAATGAGGTCAGTCTTTATTTTGTCTTCCTGCGATATTAGAATGTAAGCTCCTTGAGGGCAGGGACCTTTTTCCAATCGGTCTTTGTATCTCTTGCACCTTGGACAGTGCCTGGCCCATATTAGGTGTAGCTACGTTGAACAGAGTTAAGTAATCATAGTACTGTAGTTCTTAGTAGATGAGGATCAGTGTATGTAACTGAAAATTGAGGAGTAGCTGAACATTGTGGTGGATGAATGATCTGGAATGTTCTGATGGAATGCTATTGCGTCTCAAGTGACAAATATGAAGATAGGAAGGCAAAAATTAAGTGAAGTGATATAGAGTAGAGAAGGGATATATATATATGTATATGATATATGGAGATGTATACACATATATAAATATAATTACTGAACGTCTACAACTAATGCAAATCTCACCAGAATCTGGGAAATACACAGAAGAGTATTCAGAAGGGGACACAGAAGCAGACATTTAGGGGAAATGTTGTAACTTTTAAAAAGTGACCTGAAGTTTGTGGTTTCATGTATAATTTTCATTTTTGTGTATTTAAGTGATTTTGCAGCACTAACAGTGCTAGGACAAGTCATTTCTTAATAAATGCTTGTGGATTAATGGTTACTTCAGTACAATAATAAAATCAGCAGCCCTGTAACCCATATTTACATCAATGTGTATAAAATAGTTTTTGATCAAAAGCAAAAGGGGTACAACTGTAATTCAAAAATAATGTGGAAGGGGGGATTTTATCACGGGCCAGATAAATTGCATAGATGTAACCTTTAGCTCCATGATCCGCAGACCTGGGGCTTGGTTCTAGTAGTCCAGTTCTGTATCAAAAAAGTACCTTCATCTTCCTAAAAGCAAAGGGCCTGCAAATTATTTGTGACTCATCTGTGGAAGCCAAATCCTTTGCTTAGGAGCAAAGATTGGACCCAGGAATGCCTAGGTCCCCAGGGCACCTAGGATTCATAGCTGGTTCTCTGGACTGCATGTGAATTATAGTGCTTTTTGGGAGAGAAGATCCTATTTCCTTTAAGCTAATACAATTATAATACAATTATTTTCCCCTAAATGTTTGCTTCTGTGTCCCCTTCTGAATACTCTTCTGTGTATTTCCCAGATTCTGGTGAGATTTGCATTAGTTGTAGTTGGTTCAGTAATACAATTGTATATAGTGGTAATTCTGTAAATTACCTTTGAATGAATGAACCTTATATCCCCAGGCAGAAGAAATCTTTAGCCTGGCTCCTGTCATTAGGAATTGTGTGACAACCACCTTCTTAGACCAGACTGGGTTTCCTAGGGAGGAAATAAAGCATTTAACAGTTTTTAAAATGCCACATATTCTCTTAAGGACCAAAGTTCATGTACTTTAGGTCATTTGTGGGAGAATTCTTAGCACCATCGTTGCAATAGATAAGATTAATCTGGTGTTCAGTTCCAAACATTAAGCACAGAACACTGTTAGGGCTGGAGGAATACACGGATAAGTGACTCTAAAGACTGTATCAAGTGATATCAAAAAGCAGGGTAATCAGAGTGGGCTTCATGAAGGAGGCAGCTCCTGAGAAAAGCTTTTTCAGTTTTCAGAGGTAGAACCTGTCAAATGAAAATTAGTTTACAGTGGGTGCCTATGTGGGGCTTAATCCCTGTGGGTGATAAAAAGACAAAAGGAAAAAAGTCCCCGTCCTTGAGAAACTTCAATCAAGAGGAGGAGGTCAGGACAGGGGGTTTCATTGTCATTGGAAACTCTACCAATGACAAAGGTCAGCACTTTGTGTGCAATGCAGGGAGTTGCCTACCCGGCCAATGTGTGTGTCAGAGGCAAGTCCAGCTACCTATCCATCGTACCACTCGGCTTCTCTGTATAAAAGGAATTTTTTAAAATGGTGGTCACAAATGACTATATCTGAACAAAAGGAAAAGATGAAAATTGGTATTCAACCCAGCTCTTACATTCTCACATGCAATCTCGTAGACTATAACATTTCTGCTATGCCTGCTGACACCTCAGGATGCTTTCAACACGAACATAGCAGTTTAAACTGAGAAATGTTTGGGTGAATTAGGTTGGGACAGAATTTAGGGTTAGGTCCTGCCATTCAAGTGGAGAGGTGACTTAGGCCTTAGGTCTCATAGCATGGCACAAAAATGGAATCATGAAAGGTGGGCTGGTCTAGATTCTTCCTCCAAGGGAGACCTGGAGTTAGTAGACAATCCCACTACTGTGCAAGGTGAAATTTGACCAGAGTCGATACAAACTCAAACTTTCTTTGCTGAATTTGGGAGGAGATTTCACTCCAAAACTTCCAGGGGCTCACCTGGAAGAATACAACAGGTAGAATACAACAGGTTCCTAAGGTTTCCCACAATCTGGCTCCTGCCTACTTTTCTAGGCTTGTCTCAAACTATTCTACAAATTCTTCATTCCAGTCAAACTGGACCAGTAAGCTTGAAACTGTTCCTCAAACTTGACCCTTGTGTAAGTCAAAAACCATTTCCTGCCTAGGATGCTCCCCCCTTCTCATCTCTGCCTCTCTGAAATCTTGTCATCTTTTATGACTCAAACTTAGGTGTCTCCTCTTCCATGAAGCCTCCGATCCTCTCTGTCCCCAGTCATTAGTAATTCCCTTCTCCACAATTGTTGCTACCTGTCATTTGTGTGACATTGTTTCAAGAAGTAATAAGGAATGAAAGGCAAAATGAATACATAATATCAAGTAAACTTGTGGCTTATAGAGGGAATTAAAGGAAAACAAACAATCTCCTATGAATATTGCACTGTCATTTGAATTATCCCTTGTAGCTGAAGGGACACAGAGAAGTCACTTAATCCCTTGCCTGCCTTCAGGCAGAAGCACATCAGGTCCAGCCAGCTGAAATATACAACTTTTCCTCCCACTTTAGAGAATAATGAACCTCAACATATGATAATGTGAATGTTCAGATACATTATACTAGTTCCTAATTCCTCAATTAATATATAGTTATAATTATGGTGAATTAGTGATTTCTTAAACCTAATTCTCAATGCTTCTGTTTACATTTGTGTCTATGTCATGCAATAACGTTACCCCCTTTTAACCGTAGTAATAGAGTGCAATCATGTTCATGTTATTATCCACTATGAACCCCAGATCATTTTCAAGTGACTATGCAATCTTTCCCCATCTCATTCAGTCAACTAGGCAATAAACATTTTTATTGAGCACCTACTATGTGACAGGCACTGTGCTAAG